AGATTAAGCCCCAAAGTAATAGGAAGCCTTGCTATCTTTCATTCTTATAGAAACCCTCAAATGAACTCATACTAATTACAATTACAATTCCATACTTACATTCTCGTCTATGTATATATAAATTACATGTGGTAAAGTCTCAATATAATTAATAATGTCTTGACACATAGCAGCTTGTAAATATTATTTTAACTTTTATTAGTTATTTTTTAGAATTAAATATTAATTGTAAATATTATACATATAAGAAAATTCCAAAAAAGAAATAGTGTGCCATTATTCATCCACTTGATTGAAAGCAATGAATCGATTAATCATTTAATCTAAATTAGTTTAGTACCAACCAATCACCGGTGCAGCTAATAAACGATCCTATTGCTAATGGCTGCCAAAGTCTAAGTCTGCACATAGCAATCTCCTCAAACCCACAATTCATTTCATCCGTCTTTGTTCATCAACCAAATATTTGATCAGCCAATTGTTAAGAATGTTAGCTAAAGAGGTGGTTTAGATTTATAAAAATTCTTTTTAATAAATTAAATTTTTAATTAAGGTAAACTTAAAAACAAGTTTCTCAAATTTATGTTCACTTTAAAACATGTTAAAAGTGATTTAATAAACCAATTAATGAACAAACAAGTTAAAAACAAAATTTCAAACTCTTTAAGGCAAAATGCATTAGTGTAAAATTTTCATAAACTTCCAATCAAGTCAAGTTAAAAATAATTTTCACAATTTTTTTTTCTATCAAAATGTGAAAAGTAATTTGAAGAGTAGATTAAAGAATAAATAATTTTCTCTTTGAGAGAAAATCTAACTGCATACAATTAAAATCATTTGAATGCTATACAAAGTTTTTGTAAGCAAACCAAAACATGGAATTCGGATACCTAGAACAATATCCGGATGTGATTTTTCTAAGCTATTTCCCTTTTGAATTAAAAAAAGAGAGTATCACATCATAAAATAGTACTTAAATTAGTCGTATTAATATTCAAAAAGAAAATACTAGAATCGCTATTCTGCTTAAAAGGCTGTCGTATTCTTCCACCAGATATTTCAATCACCATCTAACTCGATACTAATTCTAGTAGCCGACGAAGTCAATGGCCGCAACAGCGTTGCATCTTCCTGTCGGCCATCAAAATTTATTAAAAGAAGCAGTCAGTCTCCTTAAACCCACAATCCATTTTCATTTTCATTCTTCTTTGTTCATCAATCAAATATTTGATCACTAAATCAGGGGAAATCTGTGCTCAATCTCATTCTCATTCCCAACAGAGGGTGCAGTCTCTCGCTGCTGGGATGGCATTGTTGGACAAGCAAGTTACATATGTAAGCTTGAAGATAATCTTGAAGCTCTGAAGAGGGAATTGGCGAAACTGAATGCGCGAATGGCTGACGTGAAGAAGAAGGTAGACCTTGCCGAACAACTACATATGGAGCGGCTCAACGAAGTTCAACTCTGGCTTTCAAGCGTGCAGACTGTTTTTGGTGGCTGCTTTTCCAAGAATTGTAAGTCTAGCTACAACTTTGGTAAACAAGTGACTATAAAACTTGCAGAAATAGTTGATCTACAGAAGCAAGGAGATTTTAAAATTGTAGCTGAGAATAAACTTGCAGCCCAAGTAGATCTAAAACCTACCGAGCCCACGGTGGGTTTGGAACCAACCTTGGTTAAAGTGTGGCGCTTACTTGAAGAAAAAGATGTGGACATTATTGGGTTATATGGCTTGGGAG